TAAATAAATAAATAGTTTTTTAAAAAAGATACAAGTGATAAAAAAATTGTTATCTGAAATATACAAAGAATGCTTTAAAGTCAAAAGAAAATGAACCTGATTTTAAAAATGCACAAAAGGCCTTAACTAACACCTGATGAAAGAAGACATAGAGATGCAAAATAAGCATGTGAAAAGATGATGTATGCCATATGTCATTAAAGAATTGCAAATTTAAAAAAAAAAAAAAACAATGAGATAGCACTGCATACCAGTTATCTGGCCAAAATCCAAAACAACACCAAATGCTGGCAAGGATGTGAACAACACAAACTCTCATTCACTGCTGGTAGAATAAATTGCACAGGCAGTTTGGAAGACAGTGGCAATTTTTCACAAAACTAAATTTACCCTTACCATATGATCCAACAATCATGTTCTTAGGCATTTATCCAATGGATTTAAAAACTTATGTCCACACAAAAACCTACACATGGATGATTTTAGCAATTTTATTCATAAATGCCAAAATATGGAAGCAAGTAAGATATCCCTCACTAGGTGAATGGATAAATTAAACTGTGGTGATCCAGACAACTGAGTATTATTCAGCACTTATAAAAATTACCTATCAAGCCAAAAGAAAGCATAGAGAAACTTAAACACATATTATTGAGTGAAAGAAACAATCTGAAAAAAATTACATACACTATCATATGACATCTTAAAAAATCAAAATTAGAAAGAAAATTTAAAAATTAGAGTCTGGCATGAGTGAGAAAGAAGGCAAGAATGAAAGGCAGAACAGAAGATTTTTAAGGCCATGAAAATACACACTACTATGGAGAATCTAGATAATTATACTTCTATCCAAACCCACAAAAGGTACTCCAAGGGTGCGTAGTAACAGAAGCTATAGACTTAAGATATATGATATGTCAATGAATGTTGGTTCATCCTTAGTACCAAATTACCATTCTGGTAAATGATGCTGGTAATATGCAAGGCTAGGTATATGTGGTGATGGCAGGTAAGCAGTATGGGAAATCTCTATACCTTCTTTATAATTTTGTTGTGAATCTAAAACTGCTTCATAAAAAAGTGAAGTCTTTAAAAATAGTATGTTAAAGCTAAGTAGGACTTCCTTTCAGGAACACAAGATTTCACATTAGTATATACTTTTCGTATAATTCAGGAGGTAGATCTAAACAGAAGAAAATAAAAATATTGTATCTGCAGTAAATGAAAAACCATTTGACAACATTGAACACCTATTCTTAATTAAATGTTAAATGACTCAATTTTAAAAAGCCAGTCATTTGTTTAATCTGATAACTCAGATTTGGAACTTACAAGCAATATATTATACCTTGAACATACATGAGAAGTATTCCCACTCAATTCAAAAGCAACACACCAAACATACAAGTATTCCTATCATTTAAAGCTACACTATTTTATAACTGATTTTGACAATAATAAAATACACAAAAGGTCTACAGAGCAAAACTACATCTATTTATACTTAAAAACTCCAACAGAATCAACTGAAAAGTTATTTAAAATAACAAAATACAGCAAGAGAGATGGTAAACAAAGTTTGTATGCCAAAATCAGAAGTTTTCAAATTTAAAAACTTACTTTGTATAAAGGGTATCTGTTAAAGTCCGATAACTAATATCATATTTCACAGAGAAAAATCTTTATTTCTTGCCTCCAAAGATATGGTAAAACAAGACTGTTCACTCTCACCACTTAATTCAACATTATCCAAGAAGTTCTAGCCAGTGCAATAAGGTAAGAGAAAATAACAGGCATCCATATTGGAAATAAAAGTGTCTTTTTCTTTTTTTTCCAAATGACAAAATTACTTATGTTTAAAAAATCTGATGAAATTTGATAAAAAGCTATTAGAATAACAAATGAATTTAATAAGACTGCAATATTAAAGGCCAATATACAAAAATCAGTGTATTCCTATATTACTGACTTGAATTTTAAAGTTTTTAAATGCCATTTATACAGTATCAAAAATCATAGAACAAATCTGGAAAAAGTTAGATGAGTAAAATTTGGAACTTAAAATTACAAAAATTCCTGAGAAAAATTAAAGTATTAAGTAAAAGGAGGAGGATATTAGGTTGATGAGATGGAAAATTCAACGCAGTTAGGAAGTCAATTCTTCCCTAAATCTAAATCTTCAACACAATTCCAAACCAAATCTCAGCAGATTTTTATTTTTAGAAAGTAACAATCAAAAATTCACATGGAAATGTGAAGGTCTAGATTAGGCAAAGCAATTACAAAAGAGAAATATAAAGCTGCACAATTAACTGTCTGATTTTAAGATGCATTATCACCAAAAACAATCAAGACACTATGGTATTAACATAAAGATAGACAAAGAGATCAAGGGAACAAAACAGTGAACCTAAGAAACAGGCCCAGACATACATGACAATTTATTTTTTAGAAAGGTACAAAAGCAATGTAATGAGGAGAGTCTCTTCAATAACCGGAATAGAAACAACTGGATACCCACAGGCAAAAGCAAACTATATCAACAAGACTGAAAAACAACGCAAATGTCTGTGACTATGGAATAAATTATGCTACACTGGTAAAATGAAAATCTGTACATCTATTAAAAAGGGAAGATGACAATCTCTACTGACCAATACTAAGGGAAGGAAACCAAGATATATTAACTTTAAAAAAGGGAAGCGCAAAACCCGCGGGGATTACACTTGAGATGGGAAAAAAAAAATGTACAAAATGATGTAAAAATAAACTGTTATAAAAAAAAAGAAAGCACCAAACGTATTAAGAATCACTTCTTGGTTCTAATACAAATAAGTGTTTTTGCTTATATGTACATACAGGAATTCTCATGGATAGTTAAATGTTAATAGCAACAATTATTCTTCTGAGAGGATGATCAATGAACAGAAACATTTTGTTCAAATAATTTTTAATTGGCCTAAAATAATGGCAAATAAATTGCAATTTGAGAAACTGCTATTTGTTGCTAATATTTCTGCACACAATATTCTAAATATAACATTAAAGTTAAAATCTAAACAAGTCATTATCCCTCCACTTCTTGATGAAGCAAGTGACAAAATGAAGAAGTTAAGTTACATTAATGAAATCTTGCAATCAAGACTTCAAGACTTATTATATACAGAAATGAAACCACATTATTTTCCACAAAAAAGTAGGCATTTTCATCATTTTAAGCCTTATTTAAAACCATGTAACTAGCATTCCTCATAAAAAAATGATACATCCATGACAAATATTTTATCATTCATAATGTCAATATTTTACCATTCCCATTAACAAAGATAAAAATGTTAAGACTCTACAATAATCTGTTGGGATAGCTGATGTCTCTATGGTAATAATATCTGGACCAAATCTGCCTCAAAATATGTTTTCCTTCTGTATTTTTGAGGGTGGGGGGAGGAATGGTAAGAACCAAAAGAAGAGAAGAAACTTATATTTAAAATTCCTAATATTAGCACTGCTTTAAAAAAAAAAAAAAGAATACCCTGTATTTTTAAGAAGTTGTATCAGCTAAAAATAGAGAGGGAAAAGCAATAAAGAGCATCCTATTTTTCTAATGAAAAACTGTTTCGCATAACTGGTTGAGATCCCCAAAGAACAGTTCTAATGGTCATCCACTGGCAAATATTTCTAAGTAGCGGTGACTGGCTAAAGAAACTACACTGTCTAAGACACATATTCTTAAATACTTAACTGTGAATTATGACAGCACAAGTTTTTTTAAAAAAGGAATGCAAACTGAAACAAGTTGGCTTCTGCTCAATTTTTACACTATATTTAAAATTTAGAAAGTATTTCTATAAGAAGACTTAATTACAAGTAACATATTTCTACCTAAAATGTGGTCCATAACAAGTGTCAATTTTATCCTTATCCTACCTACTGGACAGGGCACAGAGTAGGCAGATTCTTAGAGGCCATAGTTCTCTGATGCCACACACAAAAGGCAAAACAGTGAACTGTGAGAAAAATCACGGTAGCAGAGATTAACCAACCAGTGCCAAGCAAGTATTATACAAAATATTAATATAATAGTGGTAGAATGATACCTTTGTATATTATAAGGAGTTAAAACATATAATTCATGTATTTCCTATCTAATTATATATAGAGAATTCTCTATGTATACAGAATTCTACATATAATAGCTATACCATCTACGTAATTCTATCATTAGTAACCCTCCTTCTAAAAATAGTACCATGATGTGTCTTCAATGTCATATATTATGCAGAAGCTTTAAAATGTGGCAATTCTCTATGCACTAACATACAAATATTTCCAAGTCATATTATTAAGTGAAAAAATAAGTTCCAGAATACTTAATGTCATGAACTTTAAGCATGACAAAAAAAAAAAGAAAATCTTCAAGTTTCCTTTAAAATGTTGTCACATTTTAAAACTACTGCATAATATATGACATCATGGTATTATTTTTGGAAGGAGGGTCACTAATGATAGAATTACATAAATGATATAGTTATTATATGTAGAATTCTGTATACTTAGAGAATTCTATATATATAATTAGATAGGAAATACATGCAATTCTATGTTTTAGCTCCTTATAATATACAAATTTGTAAACAAATGTTCAAATAAGAATATGTACCAAACACAGTTAATATTAAGAAGGTCTAACAAGTGATTACCACTCTATATAAAGTTTGTACTGTTTCTTTAAAAATATATATGGCACAAAATGATGTAAAAATTACTACATTATAAAAAAAATGGCTTTTTAAAAAATGTATATGGACCAAAAAACCTATTAATCAAATACTAAACAAGGAATCAACTTATGTAAGTCTCTATATCACTGATAATCATACTAAAAAGAAGAATCTGGCATTATATTCAACTTAAGCAATTTTCTAGAAAAATCAAAACAACTGGGTAGTAAAATGTGATTCATATTCCTGAATTATGATGTATTAATTAGAAAACTTTACCTTTCTTGAAGTATAGATGTCAAAAAAGGGCTTGTTTCTGACACTAAATGGTTCTTGTGTTTTGTCAATGAGCCCAGACTTCATTTTTTCATGTCGAGGATTTATTATTTCTCGTTCTATACACTGCAGACGAATATTAAAATCACAGTCTCCAACTGGTTGTGCCTGAATTAAATGAGATAATTATTTAAATTTCAACACTAAAACCTATGTTATCAAGGCTGTCACATAGTACACAGAAGACTATATTATATAGCATCCTTTGGGGTTGTCCAATGCACAGCCTACACAACAATACATAAAAGTCTTAATAATTAATCCAACTAATGATGGAGTCATACCTAAACATATGCACAAACATTTTTTAATTATGCATAAAATAGTATGGGAAAAGTAATAAAAAACTATGCTAATATAACTTGATTCAAAGTTTTCACATCTGAAACAAAGCATAAATACAAAGTTAAAATCCTATATAAACCTGTATAAAAATTAAAACCTATATAATTCAGGAAAGCATAAGCAAATAACATATCAGAATAAACAACAATCACTTGCATTTTTTTGCTAAAGTGCTAACACTTTATAAGCATCAGCTAGTAAACTAAGAGTACAGTGCAGTTATAGAATGTTCTCTTCTCCCCAATAAAATTCCACTCATGCACATACACACATACTGTACACATGTCACATATATAACATGTAGTTTGAAACATAAAATTAAAGGAATATGTACATACACTTTTGTGTAATGCGAGGATGGGTGCATGTTCTATTCATATGGTATACACAAATATAGCTGACAATAACTACCCAGCTTACACCCTTCCGTTCATTTTTTTTTTCCCATCTTTTCAGTCACATTATTCAATCTAACATTTACCCAACCTAATGTTTACAATAGATAGCAGCATTGCATACACTGTGAATATTACATACATAGTGGGAATGATTTTTTTCTCAATTTCAAAAATATGACAACTTTGTCATATTTATGACAAATATATGAATATATGAATAAGGAGTAAGACAAACTGAGCAAGAGCTAGATAAGAGATAGTACAATATGTTCCCCTTATGTTTGTAAAGCGTATTTGTTGAAGAAATACTAATGAAGTCCATGGTTAATCCTTTCTATGATACCTACATTGTCAATAAGGTTGGGAATTCTAAAATGCTTAGTTTTATTTATTAGGTCTACCAGATGAATTTAAAGATGCATAAAGTTAAATAGAACAAGCAAGCCCTCCTTTTTTAGAAAAAAAATTTTTTTTAAATCTGACAAATACTAAAAGATACAAAGTCAAAATATACTAGTGTGTGTTCTCCCCTGAAAATACATGTAAATTCAACAACAAAAAAAAATCGGTTAAAAGCAAATTCACCTCCAAATCCATGTTGCCTATATAATAAAGGAAAAAATTGACAGGTAAGTGTTGAAACATCAAGTAGACTATAGGAAGTGTTCAATTAACTACTGATTAGCAGGCCTCCCTGTTTTGAGTTCTTTCTCACTTCCAAATACCACCTAAGTTGCCACTAGAGAATTTTGTTTTTATCATGACCATAACTAAAATCTTTCAATAGTGCCCTATACATGAAAAACACAACTATAGCAATGTCTTACTAAAGTAATCTAGCCCTCTATTTACCAACACATTCTCATTTTCTCTTATGTTCCACATCGCACAAGATACTGGGTATGCTAACAACTCTACTGCTACTGACTACAAAGACTTCAAAATGAATCCACATTAATCCATGCTTTCTCTGCCTGCAATTCCGCACATCAATGACTCAATGACACCCAAGGTGAACTGCAATACTACCTCTCCAAAACATATTATTTCTATCTCTCACATACATTTATATAGCATAACTATTAAAATTATTTTATTATATTTATATTCTTATCTAAGAATAGTGTAAATCTGCAAGTGTCCTTTGATTTTATAACAATTTAAGCACATATCCTAACAAGTAAATATGGACATGTGGATATTAATTTTTGACAAAATGTATATGTAGAAGTGTATAGTAGCTATAAAACAATGAAAAAGAATAAGTAAATAAGAAAAACTGAAGCTCTCCTATCTTCTCCCCAAATTACGCTTCACTCCTGGGAAGTGGCTGTGTTTTCAGGCCAGTGCACTAAAATTAATCTCTTGAAGGCAAGAAATTATCTCTATTCACTATGTATAACCAGTACTAAAATAATACGTGACATAAAAAAATATTGATGAAATTCTTGCTAGCCAAAATTAAGGAAGTGAAAATTTTTAACTATTACTTCAAAAAAATGTTCTAATAGTGACCATGATTTGGTGACTCGCTGACAAAGGCCCAAAGTAAATGAAATAATAATTTAAAAACTCAAGTCATTATTTCAATTTAAATGTATCTTAGTATCAAAAATGGAAAAAAGTGACAAATTAAAAGTCAGTGAAATGAGGTTAATTGGAACTCGATAAATATGTATTTAAATACCTATCTGAAGTATTCTAGACCTGCAAATGAAAAGCAAACTGAACCACTTTAAAACAAAATATGGATGAATATCCTAAATAAGGCCAAAAGCAAACCTTAAAAAGACTTAATTAGTTGTACTTCATAAAAATCAAAAATTACTATTCATCAGTGCTACTGATTTGGAAAAGATACAGTTTGCCACATATATACCCAAGAATGGGATTAGGATCCAAAAAAGGTAACTCCTCCACATTGAAAAGAAAAAAGATTGGCAAATGAACAGAAGTAAGAAAAGTTATTTGAACATGCAATTAAATCACAAAGGAAAAAAATCTAAACAAGCAAAAATTAGCTTAGGAAATATGCTTAACTTCATCAGTAATCAAGAAAAGAGCAAATAAAAACAAGATGAGATACCATTTCGCATGTAAATTGTCAAAAATTTAAATGTCTGAATACCAACTGTGGTAAACTGGTAAAACTACTTCTGTAAATTTAGCAATGTAGTCTTAAAAAGCTGTACTTGCCAATTTAATCAGAATCTCCGTAAGGAGTGATGAGAGACTGGACTTTTAAAAGCTCTTTCCAGGTGATTACATCCCATGGATGACAACTATTCCAGAGAAACTTTCACATGTATGCACAAAATACACAATGTATGTATGGGGGGGGGGGAGAAATAAGTGTGTCTACACACACAAACATATAATTATTAAATATAATGTTAGCATATTATATTAGCAAAAAAATGGAAACCACAAAGACGCCCGACAAAAGAACCAAAGAAATTCTGTACATTTAGATATTGTAAAATTTATTATTTAAAGAAATGAACTAAACTTACACATATTAAATCAGAAAAATCTAAACAAAATACAGTGGAGCAAATTTTAAGTGTCATGATATAGTACAATGATGCCAAAAATCCTGCAAAAGCATACTACCTTACAGATATAAGCATAAGCACTACTATTATTAAAAGTATCCATGGGAAAAATAAATACCAAATTAAGATAGAAGCTGCTTGTGAGTGTGAGGATCAATAGGATGAGAGGTATGCATAAGAACCCACATATGAAATCTATAATGATTAATCTTAATTAAAAATAAATCTCAGTAAAAAAAGACAAAATGTTAAGCTTCAATATACGTAGTGGTGAGTAAATGAGTTTTCTCTTATTATTCACTATTCTTTTGTATATGCAAAAATTTATTATATTTTAAAGATATATTTTTATTGATCTATGCATGAAAGAACTAGGGTGTAGACCTGAGGTGTAGGGAGTGAGAAGATTCACCAGAAACTAAGTAAAGATCAGAACAGGTGGATCTACTGAAATATACTGCTAGAGGGAGCAGTAGGTGAGACAGGAGAGGTCTGCTGTGCCACGTAGGTTAGCTTCCTGGCTGGGGCCTGAATTCATGCAGCAGTGGCTGGCAATAGCTTGACAGTGCTGAGACTTTAACCCCTGTGCCATCAGGAAGGTCCAGGAAATTTATTATATTTTTTAAACAATCAGAAGCCTGTGGGCCCTCCTTGGTGGCTCAGCAGGTTAGGACGCAGCACTGCTAGCTAGCGAACCCAGGTCCCCCACCGGTTCAGTGCGAGTTTGATCCACAGCCCCGGAGGTGACCCACATAGCACGGCAGACCTCTCCTGACCCTCCCACTGCTCCCCTCAGCAGTGTATTTCAGTACATCTGCCTGTTCTGCTCCCAATCTGTCTCTGGTGAATCCTCTCACTGCCTCTGCACCACTGGCTTTGTACCCCAGTTCTGTATGAATAAATAAATAATAATAATAATTAGACAACTGTTGTCACAAAGTTCCAAGACCAAGAAGTGAATCTGCACTGAATCTGTATTAGAGCAGGTAACAAAAGTTATCTGGCACAGACATTCATACAATAATTATGAACATGGACAGGTACAGATTCCTGGCTAGTCTAAAATTAGGTAGGAAAGAGGTAAAGAATATAACTCCTCTTCTTTTGTACCAATTTACAACAATGAATTCTATATTTGGCTTTTAAGTTTCCTGGTTACATTTATGAATAACATAATTGTGCCACCAACACATTCATAATCAGATTCTCCCTTTTTTTTTTTCAGTAATAGTACTAAAATTTGGGGACTCTAGTTATCAAAAGGATAACTAAAATTGGGACATCTCCATCATTCAAACCACTGTCTAGTAGGTAAGCTTTTCTTATTTACCTGATGTACATAAAGAAAATGCAAAATATTAGACAATAAGAGAAAAAGAGACATAAGATTTTAAAATCAGTCACAATTTTTTCCCTACTATCTCTAAAACAGTAACACTTACTAGGTAAACAAATATCCACTATCTAAAAGACAATTTTTATTTTATAAATTAAAAAAGGCACTTACATTGAATTTAATTATGTCATATATCAAATATCTAGGAACAGCCTGTCCATTTACTCTGTCAATAATCATTTCCTGGAAAGAGAAAAGAAGGTAAGTTTCTACAAACTTTTAACAGGAATTTATTTAACTGAATTTTAATATACACACAGAAAGCATGTCATAAATATTTAACTTGGTGAATTTCAAGGTAAACATACTTGTTCCACATCAAATCAAAAGTTTGTCAACCACAAAAACCCCCATCGTGATTCTATTCTGTATCAATAGAAACATATAATGACTCTTTTTATATTTTAATTACTACACTACTTTTTGTCTTGTGTTATAAAGCAAGTTTTAAATCTCAAATATCAGGGAACATTAAAAATTAACTTAATTTAGGGCCCTCCTCAGTGGCACAATGGGTTTAAAGTATAGCATCAAGAAGCTAAACCCACTTCAACATGAGTTAGATCCCAGCCCACCCTGGAGGTGACCCACATGGCATGGCAGACCTCTCCTGACCCGCCCACCACTCCCCTAAGCAATGTATTTCAGTAGATCTGGCTGTTCTCTCCACTCTCTCTCTCTGGTGAAGCCTCTCACCGCCCCTGTACCTCTGGCCTGTACCCCAGTTCTGTTTGTATAAACAAATCTTTTTTAAAAAATTAACTTCATTTAACCATTATTGCTTCACCATTTGTGAAATCCCAATTTTTTTTATCATAAAATCTATGTACAAACAGTGCCCTTATTATATAGTCCCCATGTGACCCACATAGTCTCTCTGGCTTCCGGTCCTCCACTATAGTTAGAGGGAATAATACTAGAGAAGAATATGAACAGATCATCACAAATCTAATAAAAGAACTTAAAGTCTGCACTCAAAAAAAAAAAAGGACATAAAAGACACTAAAGGATGAATGCCAATATATATACTATATACTTATATAGTATATTAATGACTAAAAATTTAATTCTTAACAGTACACCTTTATTTTCTTTCTTCATATTCTTCCTAGGAAACTAAACAGGATTTTTCTTATCTAATTTCATGAAAGAAAATTCGCACACAACATCTAAAATTACAAAGAACACATTAATTTAGAACAAATAAATTTTAAGAAATTGTTACCAATTAATTTATTTTCTGAATATGTTTGTTAAGGTAATTTGTTTGTGATTGTCCTCTGGAACCCAACATTTATCATTAATTAAATCATCTTCAGTATTTTAAACTATTTACTAAAATATTAAATATCTGTATCTGAGTATCTGATGAGCAAATAAACTGATTCCCATAACAGGTTTTAACTAATGTTATTTTCAAAAGCGTGTGGATAGAAATTATATACACTTCTTTGTTGAACTGGCAAACATCAAAGAATTTCCCCCCCTTCCAGCCACCTGAAGAAGTAAACAAAAACATCTTTCTTTAAACATTAAGAAAGAAAATAGATATATTATCTATCCATAGACAAAACAAATGGAAAGGAATAATCAAATGAATATGCTTAAAAAAATTGACAATGAAGAAAACTATCAAAATTCTGATAAAACAAAAAGACACAGCAGGATTTGGTTCTAAGTTCACTAGACCCCCAGAGTTTTACTTATAAAATGGCAAATTCCTGATAACTGTCAGCTCTACACCTAAACATAAATAAAAGCACAAGCTTAATGGTTACTCCTGTCTTTTTTATTTTCTCTTGCTCTGGTAGAGGAATAATAAAAATAACAGAACACTATTTCTGCCTGAAACAGATTCTAGCACTTTGGACTGAATTGAAGAAATAATGTGAACATTATTATAATAAAATATGGCTGCAAATGAGCTAAAGAAATCATTCACCCAAAGTTTTTGAAAGAGAACCAAATTCAGGGATTCTAACAAAGACCCAAAACTTAGGCTGAATTCTCTCCCATGACAACCTCACTAATATGTCTCCTTCACCAGTTGTCAACAATGCTCTAAATGACTTCTAAAGTAGGTTACAAACATAAAACACCTAATCTTAAAATTAGTTAAGAAAATCAGAGCCCTTTTAGTCTACTGATGGGATTTTAAGATGGTGAATCAATATGGAGAGTAGTATGGCAATTCCCTCAAAATATTAAAACTACAACTACACATGACCAAGAAATCCTGTTTCTGTGTGTATATCCAAAAGAACTGAAAACAAACCCCTAAGAGATATTTGCATGATTATATCTATAGTATTCCAATAACGAGGTAGAAGAAACCCAAGTAACCAGTGAAGGGGTGAACTGAAAAGTGAGGTGTAGACAGACAGACAGACAGACAGACAAACAGATAGACAGACAGACAGATACAGGTATAGTGGAATATTACACTACCTTGAAAAGAAAGGAAATTTATCACGATATACAATATATAAGCCTTGGGGACATTATGCTAAGAAATAAAGCAGTGACAAAAATCAAATATTAGTATAAGTTCACTTACATAATGTATCTAAAATAGTTAAATTTATAGAAATAAAAAGTAAAATGGTAGTTGCCATGGCTAGGGGAAATGCATAGTTGTTCAACAGGTATAGTTTCAGTTTTACAGAATTAAAAAATTCTAGCGATCTATAGTACAGTGTGCATATAGCTAACAATACTAAACTGTACACTTAAAAATGGTTAGAGAGTAAATTTTATGTTGTATGATTACCAAATTTTTTTTTTAATTTTGATTAAGAAGGAAAAACATACTTCCTCTTTGAACCAAGTTGCCTAAAACCAAAAGATACAGACAAAATACATGAGTAATGATCTTCAAAGCACTGAATATCCAACAAAAGGCAACGATCACTAGAGGTCAGTAATCAAACTGTGTGAGCCTGCAATTGTACTAACTTATTGCCCAAGGAGAGTTGTCCGGTTTGGATATAAGCAGGTTGGTTCTAAACAGAGCCCGGCATTCTCCCTGAGATGACAAAACGGAAAAGGTTTTCTAGTAAGACGAAATGATGCAAGCCTTCTCAGGGAAGAATGTAAGAGAAAGGAAAAGATTTTCATCAAAAGTAGGCAATTTTTGACATTATTAATATTCTTCCTCCTTTTATAGGTTTAATTACAAATGTTCTTTTTAATTAAATAAACTTTTCTGTGTTTCATTTTGAATAGCTTCTATTACTACGTCTCCAAGTTTATTAATCTTTTCTTCTATGTCATCTAAGCTGCTATTCATCTGAACCACAGTATTTTTCACTTCAAATATTGTAGTGTTCATCTCTGTGAATTCATTTTTTTTTTTTTTTGTCTTCAATGTTTCTTCTATGTCTTTTACCTGCTGACTATACCTCTCTCAGTATGGGGCCTATTTTCAAAAAGAAATTTGAAGACCTGTAAAGATCCCCATCAATATTCAGCATAGTACTGACTGTATATGCATTTGAAAGGTCAGGTTAATAATCACCTAAATGTCTTAGAATCATACTTGGCAACAACATAATTTGGGAGTAATGTTCCCACCTGCCAGATTTAGAAAACTCATCATTCACCAGGTACTGAGACTCCAAAGAATTTTGTATCAATAATGGAGAATAATTATCCCCAGATTATATACTGCTCAAGTCCCCCTAACAAATCTTAAAAGCAAGACTTGAAAGGAGCAAACTAGTTTCAAACAAATTAACTGTATCCCAGAACAAAGCTCAAGAACATCTATAGGAATACAAACATATCCAGGTCCCAAAGGTAAAATTAAGAATGTCTGGCACCCAATCTAAAATTACCATGGATGCAAAGAAGCAAAAATAGAGGGAAGACAAAATCACGGAAACACAGTGGTAGAAGCTATTCAAAATGAAACACAGAAAAGCTTACTTAACTAAAAAGAGCATTAGTAACTAAAATCTATAAAAGAGGGGAGAATATTGATAATAGAAAAAATTGCCTAGTTTGTTGAAAATTGCAAAACCACAGGTAAAAGCTGTTCAACAAATGCCAAGCAAAGAAAACAAGGCATATTAACTTTACATACCTCAAGAATCTGTGAAAAATTAAACCAACCACTGTCTTTCGGTATTAAATATTTCTCTGGATGAATGTGAAGTTTGAATCCTTCACTGTGACAACTTCCCCCACCCAAAAAAAAAAAAAAATCTGCATTTTTTACTTTCCTATCCTCTATCTTTTCTATATTATGTTCCCTTTGGTTGAAGTCTTCAAACATCTACTCTTCTGCCTACCTTCCCAATAATTCCCAAAACCAAATTACCCATTAGTCATAGCTCTAATTACTAGAAAAACTAAGCAAATAATTAAAAAATAAGCAGATAATTTTACTAGAAAAATTAAGCAAATAATCCCTACATTCAAGAAACTTAAGCATCCCAGAAAGAGAAGTAAATATGTAAGTAGCTAAATTCAATAAAGAGTTACTTTTTTAAAAGTTTATTTTTACATCATTTTGTGCATTTTTCCATCTCATCTGCAATCCCCTTGGACTTCCCATCACCAAATCACCCGAGTTACAGTTTTTAATGATAGATAGCTGTATAAATATAAACAGGTAGCTTGTCTAAATCAGGACACTTGCGACAGTGAAGTAGATTGCTATTAGTAGTAGGAAAGCACAATGGACTATATTGGTGGACTATGGGTAATTTGGTAATGGGTACATCACAGTATCAAGAGCTAAAGCAAGTATCCAATATTACCACAATTAAAATAAAAATGTCATTTTTAATTAAATTAATAATTACACTAAAACAGGTGTTACCCTAATTAAATAAGCAGGTGGTGATAGCCTAAGGAGAAGTAGTCAGTTACTTCTACTTGAGCTGAAAAAAAGACTTGAAAATAAGGTTGTAGATGCATTTGTTCAATGTTAGATGTCATGGATATTTTCTAGCAGGATGGTGGATGGTCCAAAAGACATTCCAAAAGCATGAAAAATTTTTGGGTAAATTATCCAAAGCTCAATATAGGTGAAACTTATGGTTCAAAAGTTTACAATCAAAATGATGCTAAAGATACGGCATGTCTATAGATAGAAGAATATGCAATGAGGAATCACTGAAGGATTATAATGGAAGTGAGGGGAATAAATGTTCTCTGGGAAAATCTACGAGCTTTCAAAATCCATCTTAAAGGTTACCTGGTTACCTACTTCTTTAAGTTCTTTCAGATAAAACCCACTTGGTTCTAAACAGATTATGATCTAGTTGATAAAATAGTCTAGTAAATATTAGATACTGGTTAATAGTTGTACACCCCTGTAAATATACAACTATATGCCTTAAATCAGTGAATTTCTAAATTATCAATTACATTTCAATTTGTAAAAATAAAACTAAATTTAAAAAAAGAAATCCTAAAATCAGTTCTTTAGATTAAAAGAAAACAATAAAACCCCAGATATACAACATATGTTAAATGTCAGCAACATGTTGATTATATGTGTTCTATAAGTACATGCAAAACAAAATGACTAAAAGCAAATATATCCAAATGTTACCATGTAATTTTTTCTTGATAGTGAACTTCTCTACTTTATAATGTACTTTCTAAAATTTCAACAATGAGAACACATATTGCTTTATTAAAAAAACACTAACAGTTGAAAATACATGCCACTTTTCCAAGGTTCTTGCTACAAACCTTAATAATTAAGTGGTATATCATCCTCTTAACCACAACATAAAATTTATCAAATCCACTGATTGTTTCAAATGAATTAAAGCCATATTTCTAAACTCTATTTTTCCCCATTTTGTAGGTCAAAGAACATAATTTAGAGAGCAAAACAAATGCTTCAATGCTCATGTCTTAAAGTGAGACAATTAGGTGGTTTAGAGTTATTCTTGTATTTGGAATTTTACAAAAACAATTTGCAAATGAAAATGTAGAAGAACAGGAAACTACAGAAGACTTTTAATTAACTAACTGGAAAAATAGATATGGCAACTATAATTCTGGTCCAAGTAAATTGACATCATGAATCATATTGCTATTTTAAAACCTCACAAGAATCTATTATTTTTCTCTCAGTTATCCAAATTTGGGGTGAAAATAAACAGTATTACTAAGTTAAATATACAGATGGTTAAACATTAATTTTTAAGCATTATTTCCTACCTGAAATGCCCTCAGTCCTTGCCCAACAAAAGTTTTCTATTAGAAAACATTCCATACCTAATACCAATTCATCTACAAGACATCATTACTAACCAAATCAATTTATTTCTTTTCTAAACCACCACAGAATTGTTTTAAATAACAATCTTCAGGGTATTGCTTTATTTGAGAGTCTCCTCCATCATTACCAGTCATTCTTCACCCCTATGCGATGATGTAAAGTATCAAGGGCAGAGCCTTCTCTTCAACCCTCTAAATAATGCGTCATTGAAGGACAACTCTTGACACAGCAACTTGAACATGACAGGCATTCAGCAAATATTAATGCAATTATAAATTCTGGTAAATGTTGGCTAATATTGTAACTTAAAAGCCTTTTTCTTTATTTTATTAATTTTAATATTTTTAAATATATTAAATGAAATTAAGAAAAAACTAAAATGTTCCCACATTGATTATGCAATTTATGTACAGCACGACTTCAGGAGCACCAGTCATAACAACTATAATAAGAATGGCCTAGCACACCCTGGAGATGGGTAGTAAATAATACTTCCAGCACCCAGTGGTTCTTGTCAACCACAGCAGTGCAGGGGAGGAGCAAGGTTGCATACATGCACAGAAAAGTGTACACACACTACAAAAATGTATGTGTGTAAATGTTGCTTAGTGACATCTACTATACATTATCTTAATGAAAATTTACTAAAAGCCCTACAGAGTACACCGTACAGAAAATTTTGTTTTGTGACTCTTACTGTTTGCTCAGTGAGTTTGGCTAACTGTCATTCTCCATATTACCTTCCTTCTTCCTTTCTAATCTTAAGTGCCCATCACATAGTCATCTCCTCAACCTGGATTCCTGCCATTACTCATTATAACTCATCTAATACTCTCTTTGATATCATTTCCAATATTCTTCACATTACCTTAACCACTAACTCTTTCTAGGTTATAGCCTAAACCTTGTCATCACCTGAACTATACTTCAAAAGTGACTAATTCAGATGTTAAAGTCTCCACAATCTTTCATCTTATGGTTCAAATGCTCCAATACTTAGCTGGTCAAAAGAAAATAAAGTACATGGGGTGAGGGCCACAAATATAAAGGTCACTTGGAAAGTGGGTTTCTCTGTGTTGAATAAATACATATTTTATACACATAATAATCATTGAGAATTTAAAATGAACATCCACAGGCAACTACCCTCCATATCTATCAATAGCTATAAATTTAAATATCTTCCCCAATATCACCCCAGTATCTATAAATTTAAACTAGAAGCAGAGAAACAAATTTCACCTTAAGACAAGTAGTGTTCCTACACAAATTCCAGGCAATCTTAACCAAATGTCACCTAGCCTGGCTTGTGAAAAAGGCCCAACACTGAGGAAAGTGAAGAAATGTTTAAGAACCTGAGTAAATGAGGTCATTGTAAATACCTGAGGTTGTGGGGAATTATAAGATATGTATATAGAGTGACTTTCTCCAAAGAAAGGCAAGGAAGGTGTGGCAGGAAGATAAAGTACACAACCAAATAGCAAACAAAAAGGTGACTGGTATGGAGATAAGTCTACCAAAGGTCATTCTGCAAAGAAATATACAGGCTCACTCTTGTACAGTTGGACAGCCTAACTTTTCAAATAGCCTATTCACCCAAAAGCTAAAAGGGAAGACAAAATTTTAAGTAGCAACTCTTGAATAATCACGACACTGGGTTTACATTAAATTTTATGGTAAAGCCATTGTATTTAAATCAATCTAAAACCTCCAATGGAAAACAAAATTCTAATTAGTGAAAGAAAAATGAATTAAGAAAAAAACAAATGACATACAGAAGTATGTCATATTTCAAATTAAAAACAAAATATCTGAATATTTTTGATGCAATAGTTTAGACAACTGGAAATTATAACTGCACCCACATTCTTTCCTTTTACTAAAGTGTGTTTCAAATATCTAAGTGTCTAGATATTTAAATATTTGTTTAAATACAAATAAAATACATGAATGTACTAGAAGGAAATACAGCTCTATAATAACTGAAGTAAAAATATCTCAAAATGAGGTGTTCCAGCATTCTGTAAAGAAAGGTAGCAGTTTTATAAGCCATTATTTAAAAGACACCCTTGAAATCAGCATGATGACTAAGGCACATAGATTGTTCCATCCCTTCCTTGGGAGCACCACTCTTCTTAGACTCCAAGCAGTAGTGCTACCAGTGAGTTTCCAGGCCCCTCTCTGACTCCTCCAGATGAATCTCAGGCCAGGTCCCTTGGGACTGACATGTGGATGTTGGGAGAAAAAAATCTCTTCTTGAGCTGCTATGCAACTTGCCTCCCATGTGAAGAGGCTTCATGACAGAATGAGACCAAGCCACAAAACAAATAAACAGAGCCCCAAATTAACTCCTAGCGGAAAAAGGCAAAATTGAAACTTCTTAATAGTTTCAATACAATCAAGTTCATTTTTCTTTGGTTACTTCCAACTTTCAAGTTGGACTTCAGTCATGTGCAATTGAAAAATTCTTAATAAACACTACAATCTCACCTATATGAATTTAATTATAAGATTGCATAACTGTGAAAGGAAAACACCATAAGGATATGCATTCAATTATGTCCTATAAAAGAAAAAACTACCAAAAACTTAAAATATCTACCAAAGGGCTACTTAAATAAATTACAGAGCTATTTCTCAAATTTGTCTGATTATAGTCACTTGAATACATTATTAAGAGTACATACACCTTGGCCCCTGGAAGAATCTTAATTTCCTAGATCCCGGATAGCCTAATTGAAATGGATCACATTTTCAATTGGCATTTCCTACCAAATTTCATAACCAATATTGTCTAAAACCTCCAATTACAGTGTAGACATATACAACAGTATGTAAGTTAGGCATTTATATGAGGAAGCTGTCCAAAACAAATTGCTCAGTGGAAAAAAGAAAAGTTACAAAACACATGTAACATCTTTTTCCTTTCAATGCAAATTTATGAAATTATCAAAGCATGTAGATATTTAACCAGAGCATTCATTTTCAACCAGGCAAAAGATACCATAATTATTCAGAATCTTTCTGGGACTGGAAGTGGTCCCAACTTGTCTAAAAAGTCTGATACACATTCTGTTTTAAGAATATGAGTCACTATTACTAATATGAATATGTTACATCCCTCAGGAACAGATGTGAGATCAAACACTGGCACAGAGAAAAGTCTGGAATAAGATTCATCAAAATGGCAACAGAAATTACTCCAAAGGCCACTTAGGTGACTTTTGGCAGTCTTTTATAATGTTCTATATTTTTAATTTCTTATTTACAGCATACATTATTTTTAGAATCAGGAAAAGAAAACTTGTTTACCTAAGAGAAAGTAAAAATATTTTAAAGTTAATTTTATGACTTAAATGCAAATTTTCTGGAATGGTGATTCTTATCAGCTTTCAAAATTCAAACATAAAAATAAAGTGATTGCTTTCAGGGCACAATTCTTTTTAATCAAGAGCTATAGCTAAAGAGCCAAGGAAAACTAGGACATTATTAAAATTCAATTTGACAAGGAAAATAATAAAATTAGTTCTTTTTGACAAGTGTTATTTTATTACAAAGAAAAAAAATTAAGATTTAATTTTGCTCAATTACTATCATGCCCATGACAATGATCAATCTGAAATTCTTAACATCTCTTGACTAAACAGTGTAAATGCAGGTAAAAAGGAAATAGAATTTAACATTCTCTTCATAAAAGCTAGATTCAATTCTGAACTTCTTATTTAATTAATGAAAATACATATCTACTCACAAAAGAAAGAAAACTGCAATGTTTAATTTTTTTAAATAAAGTAAAACTTACCCCATCTAAGAGAGTATTTGATAAATGTATACGAAGATCTTTACGAAATGGAAATTCCAGATTTGAAACATGAAACACTGAGTTATCTCTGTCAATCATAAAAACTTCATTTGTGCCATCAATCAACATCATATACCTATAAAGGAAACATTAAAAAGGTAGTATTTGTTAGTGTAATTCCCAAATAGGGTCATAAGAAGTAAATTGTTTTTTTCTTAGACTTAAAATAGCTGTGTGGAATAATGTTACCAAGAGTTTACAAAACCCCACAAGTCATTTAGATTAAAGTACCATAAATAACAAATATTTTATGTGTTAGCTTCCTATAAAAATCATAGGGTAAAGAGAATTCAAAGCTTTGTATAAAGACAATGTGATATTCAAAAGCCATCTTATAAACCACCTTCAGAGTGAATCATTCCCAGCCCTCCCTGGTGGCACAGCAAGTTAAAGCACAGCACTAAGAAGCTAAAGTCACCTCAGCATGAGTTCAATCCCCACCCCAGAGGTGACCCACATGGCGTGGCAGACCTCTCTGCCACTGCTCCCCTCAGCTGTGTACTTCATCAGTCAGCCTGATCTGCTCCCCACTCTGTTTCTGGTGAATTCTCTCACTGTCCCTACACCTCTGGCCTGTACTCCAGTTCTGTATGCATAAATAAATAAATCTTAAAAAAAAAAAAAAAAAGGAGTGAATCATTCCCTAATTTTTATTAGAACTTCAACATCAAACTTTACAGAACACTCACATACATGCAATTATTTCATTTACTGGGTTCAAAAGAATACACATTAAATACTACTCTGTCCACTTTGCAGTAGAAAAAAAGAAAATGACCTGCAATGGCCAGATCTCAAACTTACTAATGCTTTTAACACCACACTACCGCTAACAAAGCAGCTAAACCCTCTTTGAATCAATATTATTATATAATCAGAAACATGTATTTCAGGTATCATTCTCCTTCATTACTATAAAGCTAAAATATTTTTAAACACAAGCTCATGAGAATTTATATTAATCTTTAGCTTCTTAAGCCAATCATACAGAAGATGTATATAACCTTAACTTGTCATCCTTTGAATTATCAAGTTATCACTGATTGCTCAACAGGAGACATAAAAAAGCAGATTATTTCTCTACTTCACTCCATATATAAAAATAAAGAAGAATTAAAGTTGAGTAAGTTACAGACTGATAGGATATGCTACAAAATAAATGACACGATTTGAGCTTACAAGATTTGAGACTCCATGGAGGTATCAAACACTTTTTAAAATGAGAGCAAATTGATAGCAACAAATTAGAAAGTTAAAAGGCATGAGCCTCAAAGGAAAAGAATCATTCTGTCGAGTTGTTTTGGTTGTTAAATGAAAGAGTAGAAGAATGAAGTCTGAAAAATGAAGACCAGCCTTGTCTAACCTCCCACCTAGGATATACACATGTATTAGAAAAAGAACACAATACCTAGAAGATAGAACTGAATCAAGTCAGGATCAGGGGATTGAAAAAAACAATAGATGAAAAGATGGAAGCCAACATAGCATAGTGTGGCTAATATTATGAAGATGTTTTATTTCCATAAACAAGTGTTCTAAAGAGGAAACACATTTACCATAGGTCAGGAGAAATAAGAGTACTGATTAAGGTAAAAGAAATTTGTTACAGGGTGAAGAGCACCAAGAAAGACCAAAGGGGCTTAATTTTGGTACCAGATTAGATGCATGGGGTTACCATTTTCAAATTAGTCCCAGCAGGCCCTTGCAGGGTGTGGGAGATGAGAGCTAAGGCCCTTACTACATATTGAAACAGCTGAAGCTCTTGTAGATAAGGAATGTGGAGATTGATTTCACTAGGAAACATAAATTGTGCCTAGGTCTGGACAGATTGTGCATCTGATAAACTCCTAGAACCACTGCCAGGTGAGCAAGATGGCAGACAATAAGAAGATAGGCCCCAAGGTCCCCTATATACACTTTTCAAAAGTAATAATTCCTGGTAGATTAGAAAAATCTAGAATTCTTGGAAGTAAATCTTGCCCTGGACTGTGTTTAAAAGAGAACTCAAATCAACATAAAGAAAGGTCAAATTAAAAAATGTACCTACTGCAAAATGACACTGAGGACACAATTTATTGAGTTGTTTAAGTACCTAGGCCTGCACTTTGCAAATTTTGATATTTCTTTTAAAAGTGTTTAATGGTTAAAAAAAAACACCAAAATCACATGGGTGATTTGGTGATGGGAAGCCCAAGGGGATTGCAACTGAGATGGAAAAATGCACAAAATGATGTAAAAATATTATATGTGTGTATGTGTGTATATATATGTGTGTGTGTATATATATATGTATATAAAACACCAAAATATTTAAGAGTATGGAAAAACACTAAAATCTGTTAAATTTATTTAGCCCATTGTTTCCTAAACTTGGTCCTGATATTTGTTAATATTGAATGGAATTATATATTTTTTTTCCAAATTTAGTAAACATAACATGTTAGTTAGTAAATTTCAAACTCCTATAAAAGAAAATGACTTGCCTCTTCTGATCATATAATGATGGCAGAAATAATGTTCAAATAGAATAAATATTAAATCCCAAAATGCTGATACATTTGTTTTACCTGTCATAAGCTTTAATTTCCTATTCCTATGTTAACATATATGTGTGTGGTTACTATTTTTTAACTTCAAGTAGAATCTCAATTAGAAGAAAAGACTATGTATGTATACATGTGTATATCAGACTTTTATTAAAAGACCAAAGAAGAAATAATTTTGGAAGACATATCTCACTATAAGGATTGCTCATGGGGAAAAAAGCTTGTATTTAAGCTTTAAATTTCTGCAAATATAAATTTTCAGGGTTTGGAATCAAAGTTTCTAGGGTACAATTTTTTGTTTGAACTCCAGTTATTCCAGAACATGTTCTTTTGTTCTGTGACATTTCAACAAAAGTAATAAGCTATCATTTCATGTTAGGGAGGGAAAATAAGGAATGTAGGAATGTGGAAATATTTCCATAGCACTCCAAAATCTGCCCACTCCAATGGCTGAAAGCAGCCATATTCTTTTTTTCAAAAAAGGTAACTATCCTACATACTATCAGATGGCTGGTATAGTACATAATTATGTTCTACCTTCAGTGGAAATGAATTGCTAGTTCAATATAATTTTTTATTAATTAGGAGACTATCTCAACTGTAAATTTAATGTTTGAAATTAAGTTACTGATATTATAAATAACATTCTCAATAAAAGACAAGAATTAACTCAGTGGAAGTTTCACAACATTTTTCAGAAGTCTTACTATAGTAAAGTGAATAACCAAAGGTTTATAAATTACAGAAAAGCCAAATTTTAAACTACTGAGTACATGTTTTGCAGCCTGTTTGGAAACAACCTGATTAGAAACACCTATTAAGTTACTCAATGAGATGTGAGATCTCAAGCTAATAAGTAAAATCACCCAATATACCTAATGCAATGTAAGAAATTATATAAAGAGGAAGATTGATAAATATATATTGCGTGCAACTAACAGCAGATCTCAGAATTCTAATTCATATTTCTAATAGTTATGTGAGAATAAAAGTCTCTAAGCATTTTAAAATTTAAATTTATCACCAATTCAGATCAACTTTGATCACCAATTACATTTCTACAAATCTATCATACTACATGAAAGCAGACATAACATTAATACTGTTCTTTTACAGACTATGTGCCTTTCACAGCCATCTTCCTTTACACAGACCATGTGCCTTTTACACAGACTTTGTGCCTTGCATAGAAAACAATCAATAAATACTTGTTAAGCAAGACTATATAGAGACAGATGTTCATTAATTTAGGTTAAGTTAAATACTGCATTTCTATGTAAAAGCTTACTAATCAAGCATTTTCTAAATAGTGACAAAAATATTTATGTGAAAAGAGATTCACAATATAATAAAGATAAATCAAGTTAATACTCAGAATGCATAATATGGTTATGGGAGTGGGGGGTAAAGCTTCGTACAAATAAAGATAGAAAGGAAAATATAAAAAATGTCAAAGAATTGTCATTGCTGTTAAGGGATTATCAATGATATATACTTCCCCAATTTCCACCTTTTTGCTTTTTCAAAAATTAAAAATTGTAGAAAGAAGCACAAATTTCTTTTACAAGCAAGGAGGGTTAAAATCAAAGCTACAGGAGAAACAAAAGCAAACAAAAATTACCCAGAAATTCATTCTAATCAGAATCTAAGAGGCAAAATTTTCCCTTTTGGAAATAAGATGGGATGCTATATTTTGTTCTTCCTACCACAGCAGCTTCAAAATTAGCAGGCATTTCTCCTCTCCTATTATAGAACATCCAAACCAATGGTGGCTTCCTACTTGAGGTGCTCCTGTGCCTGACCTTGGCTCTGAACCTTACTGCCTGGTCTTCCTTGATTCAGCTCCAGTTTTCCAAGACTAGTTCTCTTGAAAGCCTTCCAACCTACCGCTTTGCTTAAATTAACCAAAGTTGCTATCTACTCACAGTCAAGGTAATATTAACGGTTACATTCACATTGTTCATTTTTTTTTTTCCTTTTTGCTCACAATATTTATCTGAATAAAAGCCAGTTAAATGTGCCTATAATATAATTCTGTTGTTAGAACCCCAAACATAACCTCAATTCCAAAGCTTACATGATACTCTTTTCTTTTTTTTTTTTAAAGATTTGGACCCTCCCTGGTGGTGCAGCAGATTAAAGCACAGCACTAAGAAGCTAAAGTCACTTCAGCATGAGTTCAATCCCTGCCTGTCTCAGAGGTGACCCACATGGCACCCTTGACCCACCCCTGCTCCCCTGAGCAGTGTACTTCACATTCTGCCTGTTGTGCTCCCCAAGCTGTCTCTGGTGAATCCTCTCACTGCCCCTGTACCTCTGGCCTGTACACCAGTTCTGTATGTACAAAATAAAAAATAAATCTTTTTAAAAAAGATTTATGTAGGCCCTCCCTGGTGGCGCAGCGGGTTAAAGCACTGCACTAAGAAGCTGAAACCACTTCCGCATGAGTTCGATTCCCGTCTGCCCTGGAGGTGACCACATGGCGTGGCAGACCTCTCCTGACCCGCCCGCTGCTCCCCTCAGCAGTGTA